ATAGAGAACAAATTGGTGGTTGTCAGAGGCAGGAGTCGGGGATTGAAGAAATGGGTGAAGGTGGTCAAAAAGTACAAACTTCCAGTTATAAGATAAGTAATTTCTGGGAATATAATGTACAACATGGTGACTATAGTTATCAATATTCTATGATCTATTTGAAAGTTGCTAAGGGAGTAGATTTTAAAAGTTCTCATCACAAGAAAAAAAATTTGTAACTGTGTGAGATGATCTATGTTAACTAGATTTATTCTGGTAACCACATTGCAATATGAACATATATCATTTTATTGTATACCTTAGCCTTATGCAATGTGGATAATATCTCAATAAAACTGAGGAAAAACCTCTCAAAACTCAATAATTAGAAAATAATCCAACTTTAAAACCCTGAAGAATGCACTCCAAAACTATTAGATCTAATATCTGAATTCAGCAAAGTTGCAGGATACAAAATTAATATGCAGAAATCTGTTGCATTCCTATATACTAATGATAAACTAACAGAAAGAGAAATCAGGAAAATAATTCCATTCACAATTGAATCAAAAAGAATAAAATACCTAGGAACAAACCTAACCAAGGAAGTGAAAGACATACTCTACTAACTACAAGACACTCATGAGAGAAATTAAAGAAGATACCAATAAATGGAAACACATCCCATACTCATGGATAGAATTAATATTTTCAAAATGACCATCCTGCCTAAAGCAATTACAGATTCAATGCAATCCCTATCAAAATACCAAAAGCATTCTGCAACAAACTAGAGAAAATCATTCTAAAATTCATATGGAACCACAAAAGACCCTGAATAGCCAAAGCAATCCTGAGAAGGAAAGCAGGGGGGTTACGCTCCCCAACTTCAAGCTCTACTACAAAGCCACAGTAATCAAGACAATTTGGTACTAGCACAAGAACAGACCCATAGACCAGTGGAACAGACTAGAGATCCCAGATATAAACCCAACTATATATGGTCAATTAATATACGATAAAGGACCCATGGACATACAATGGGGAAATGACAGCCTCTTCAACAATTGGTGTTGGCAAAACTGGGCAGCTATATGTGAGAGAATGAAACTCGATTAATGTCTAAACCCATACACAAAAGTAAACTCAAAATAGATCAAAGACCTGAATGTAAGTCATGAAACCAATAAACTCTTAGAAGAAAACATAGGCAAAAATCTCTTGAATATAAACATGAGCAACTTTTCCCTGAACGTGTCTCCTCAGGCAAGGGAAACAAAATAAAAAATGAACATGTGGGACTACATCAAACTAAAAAGCTTCTGTACAGCAAAAGGCACCATCAGCAGAACAAAAAGACATCCTACAGTACGGGAGAATATATTTGGAAATGACATATCTGACAAGGGGTTAACATCCAAAATATATAAAGAACTCATACTCCTCAACACCCAAAAAGCAAGTAACTCTATTAAAAAATGGGCAGAGGATAAGAACAGACATTTCTACAAAGAAGAAATTCAGATGACCAACAGGCACATGAAAAGATGCTCCACATCACTAGTTATCAGAAAATGCAAATTAAAACCGCATGAGGTATCACCTCAAACTAGTTAGGATGGCCAACATTAAAAAGACTAGGAACAACAAATGCTGACAAGGATGTGGAGAAAGGAGAACCCTCCTACACTGCTGGTGGGAATGTAAATTAGTTCAACCATTGTGAAAAACAGAATGGAGGTTCCTCAAAAATCTAAAAATAAAAATACCATTTAACCCAGGAATTCCACCCCTAGGAATTTACTCTAAGATTGCAGGATCCCAGTTTCAAAAAGACATATGCACCCCTATGTTTATCGCAGCACTATTTACAATAGCCAAGAGGTGGAAGCAACCTAAGTGTCCATCAGTAGGTGAATGGATAAAGAAGATGTGGTACATATACACAATGAAATATTATTCAGCTGTAGAAGAAGACAAATCCTACCATTTGTAACAACATGGATGGAGCTAGAGGGTGTTATGTTCAGTGAAATAAACCAGGTGGAGAAAGACAAGTATCAGATGATTTCACTCATCTGTGGAGTATAAGAACAAAGCAAAAACTGAAGGAACAAAACAGCAGCAGACTCACAGAAGCTAAGAATGGACTAACAGTTACCAAAGGGAAAAGGACTGAGGAGGCTGTGTGGGAAGGGAGGGAAAAGGGTAATAAAGGGCATTACAATTAGCTCACATAACATAGGGGGTGGTCACAGGAAAGAGAAGACAAATAGTGACTCTATAACATCTTACTACACAGATAGAAAGTGACTGTAATGGGGTATGTAGTGGTGACTTAATCACAGGGGGAATCTAGTAACTACAATGTTGTTCATGTAATTGTATATTGGTACCAAATAATAATAATAATAAGACAAAATAACCCAACTTCAAAAGACTTGATTTGGTGAAAAGATGTGAATAGACATACCACCAAAGAATATATAGGATGTCATATAAGTATCTGAAAGGATGCTCAACATCATTAGGAAAATGCCTATAAAACCACAATGAGATATAATATACCTTTTAGAATTGCTAAAATGAAAAATATTCTTCAAACCAAATATTGGTGAGAGTGTGGCACAACTGGAATTTTCATACCAAAAGGAATATAACATGATATGACCTCTTTGGAGAACAGTTTGGCACTTTCTTAAAAGGTTACACAAACTTCCATACAACCTAGGTATTACACCTCTTGGTATTTACTCAAGAAAAATGAAAGCATATGTCCATATGAAGACTTTTATACAAATGTTCATAGCAGATTTATTTGTAAGAGCCCCAAAGTAGAAACAGTCCAAATTCTATCAACCAGTGAATGAAATAATTACTATGTTATATATATATAATAGACTACTACTCAGCAATTAAAAGGGATGAACTACTGATAAATACTACAGTATGGATGAATCTCAAAAAATATATGGAGTGAAAGAATCAAGACAAAAAAAAAGAGTTCATACTATATGATTCCATTTGTATGAAATTCTAGAAAATTCCAACTTGCCTATGTGACAGAAAGGAGATCAGAGATTGCTTGGCATGTAGGAGTGGGATGGGGAGGAGGGAGGGATCGCAGAAGGGCTCATGGAAATTTTTGGGGGGGTGATGGATAAGTTCACTATCTTGACTGTGGTGATGATTTTACAGATATATGTATATCAATGTCAATCCTCATTGATACACTTTGCATATGTTCTATTTAGTGTATGTGAATCATACTGAAAAAACTTTTAAAAAAGAGTGGGGAGGAAAAAACATTAGGGAATAGGACAGGACAGTTTCTTATACTCTTTTTATCTTGTTTTCTTTTTTTTTTTCTTCCCTTACGCTCTCCTTTGTGCTCATTTAGTTTCCTTTAAAAGACTAGGGCTGTATTAAGGGAAATTAAAAACACATAATCACTAAACACTGATGAGGTCGTAATAAAAATAATCACATTCTCACCTTACATGTGGCAACATAAATTGGTATAGCACCTTTGGAAAATAAATGGAATGCATATCAAGAACCATTTAAATATGTTTATATCCTCTGACACACTAATTCCACTTCCAGAAATTTTACTAAGGAAATAATTATTTTTAAAGTGAAAGGCTTAGTGAAGTCTTTGAAATGGTGGTGGTGTGTGTGTGCATGTGTGTGTGTGTGTGTGTGTGTGTGTGTGTGTGTGTGTGTAAAATGTGGAATGGCAAGGGAATGATTAGATCATTTTTGTTAGATCCACTAAAGAAATACAAAACAATTATATATATTATCATAAGAAATACTTATTTTTAATTTTAAAAATCAGAATATAAAATTATTTCTACTCTATCAATACAATTAGTTGAAAACTATGTATACAGATGGAAATGGTTCTGGAGAAATGGAAATGGTTTGTTAGGATTTTGGGATTTAGTATGAATTTTCACTTACAATTCCACTTGTATTGGTATAATGAGACTTCTTCAATAGTTAAGTAATAAAGACAAAGTAAAACAGACCAGTGAGTGTGTCTTAGTATGTAGTTTCCGTAGCTGCAATAGAGATTTTAAGGCAGATTACAAGGTACAAACATGGTTAAACACATACATTTACTTCCTGTCTACAAATAGTCCACTCAAATGACAGTAAAAAAAAAATTTAAAGACAATGGGGAGGGAGAAAAAGTTCTGAGAGCTTCAAAGCACATGAAGAAAGCTGAATCAAAAGGTGGAGGCTGAGAAAACCTAGAAGCAGTTTGATTTCCACTGAAGGATCCCTAAAAGAGTATAAATTGCCAGCCCCAGCTCCCAGAGCATAGGCATCAGGCAAGAGAAAGAAGAGTATTTTCCAGGGAATCTGACCTAAATATAACCACACAGAGAAGATCAGGTAATATGTCACACACTGTCCACAGAGCTCATGATGAACATTTTGTACTTCTTTCTTATATTATACATGGGCAGACTTCAGGGATCATCTGTCATTCATCAGAAACATCCAAATAATAGAACAGAAAGTGAAAGAGAGAGAAGGAATTGAAGATATAACTTAAGAAAACTTCTCCAACGATAAGAATATGAGTTTCCCCGTTGAAAAGGTGCACTATGTATCTAGCACAATGGATGAAAATAGACTTTTAACAAGGCATGTAATTTTGAAAATTTTAGTGCACAAAGAAGATTCTACAAGTACTCATAAAGAAGAAACATTGGCTTATATACAAATAATCCATTCCTGAGTTGCACTAGCCCCATTTTAAATGCTTAATAGCCACATGTAGCTAATGACTACTATATTGGACAGCAGAGAGGAAGAATATTCCATCATTGCAGAATGTTCTATTGGGCAGCAGTGGTCCTGATTTATAGTAAGACTTGCTTTTTATGAAATCATATTTCCTACACACTGTCCTGTTGGCCACTTGTCCTTGATTATGCTCTGCTGTAAGATGATATTTTATTTTGTATGGTGTACATGTATGAGCATCATTGTATTTTGTTTTACAGTTGTATTTTCAGCAATGGTATTTGAGACTGTTACAAATCAAGAGCTACCTGTGATCAAGTGTGTTTTAATCAATCATAAGAACGACGATTCATCAATGAGGATATCATCACCATATCCCATGGTAAAGTAATATTAAAACGATATAACTTTAGTTGTTTTCTCTAAAGAATATACTTTCTAAGCTATTGAGACCTACCATGGTTATGTGGATACTTCTTTTTATGTATTTAAATGTATTATGTACTCATATTTGGTGCAGATGAGCATTTATACTCATTGCTACTCCATTCCATCTGAGTCCATTCCATCAAGAGTCATGTTCTCTTTAGGTCTGGATTTAGGAAGGGCACTGATACTCCGCATGAACAAGTAACAGGAACTCACCTTTCTCCTTAAAGAGAATCCAGGCTTCTCTCTCAAGCTTGAGTCCCTAATTTCCAACTGCCTCCTGAAGTAGATAAATAAGTTTCCCATTTGCTCATAAAAATCCTCCTACATAATTTATTTCATTTCCATTTCTCCAAATCTGCTCCTATTCTTGTTTTAACTGATTTCTGTTTATCGCCTTTTCTAGTTCCCAGGCTTGAAAGCTCAGAGTCATATTTTACTATTTTCCCCCTCTTGCCTTCACATTTGGTTTCCAAGTCTTATCAATTTCCTCTCTTTAATAGTCCTCATATAATCATCTCAGACTCCCCAGTCTCACTGCCACTTCCCTAACTCAAGCCCTCATTAACTCTCTCATAATCACAATATCATAAGTATTTTGCATTCATCTCAGATTGGGCTGCTGGACTCTTCAGTTTCTGAAGTACAGCTATATCCTTTACTGCCTGGCTTGGAACTTTCAGAGACTTCCCATTACTTAAACTGACATGCAAATTGCTCTATAATCTGGCTCTGGCTTCTTCAAGTTCCAAGCTTCTTTTTTACCATTCTTCTCCCCATGATATTCAGTTAGCAGAGCCTAGGTATTTACTCAAATGAAGAAAGCTTAAATGATGGAGACCTAAAAATATTAACAGTCTACCTACAACAAAAAGTGAGCAAAAATTAGCAACTCTATGGACATTTCCAGTTAAGGATGCATACAAATATATAATCACTCTGTTTTCTTTTATGTAGGTATAATACATAAACACATGACATGATACCCTGGACTTACCCCCACCCCAAAATCAAAGGTATCAAAAATATTCTCAAATTTTATAACAGTGTGAAATAGGTTTCAATAACAACATTCTACATGCATCTAAGAATCCTGATTTAATATACGATTTTTTTAATGCCAGAAGCATGGTCAATTTTAATTTTTTAACATATATGGGTTAACATATATTATAACACATTGGCACATTAGTAATTAAGGCATTTTGCATACACAGTATTTCAGTGCAGGCAAAATATATTAATATTGTTTGCTATGATGTTTTAAACTTTTCATGTCTTTTCAATGTAAGAAAATAGTGACCCCACTTAGGTGTTTTCTTACAAAACACCATCTTTTAAAAATTAATGTGATTGGTCTTGCTAGTATTAAGTTCTGCATTATTTTTTTCATGCAGTATGAATTATATTCTTTTGCAATATTCAGGACTGTATTAAGACCTAGTCATTCTTAAACAATATCAGACAGTCATACAAATCCTAACTGCTGCAAAGATAAGCAGTCTTCACTGTGCACTTTCACCTTCCTGAAGCTGAAGCTGCTCCTTTAGGATCTTTTCCTACTTTAATGTGAAATGATTGCTAGGGTGTCTGTGGCTTTTAAAAAAATGGTTTTGATTTCTTGCACAGTTCTCAATTCTCACATGAGATATTATCCTTCCCAGATTAATATTTTCTGGGAAACTCACCGTGCAGGGGTGTTTTGAATAACCAAGTGCTCTTCAGTAGACAAAATTTGTCAGTGCAACTCTAATAAATCATTAACTACATCTTCAGCTTTAATGCCGGTATATCCTGGAACTAAAATAAGGTAATTTTACTATTCCCACTTAATTATTGTTTAAATCTGATTATCTCTATCATTTATCATTTCTGCTTGAAGATTAAGATTGTGTGTGCTGGGTTTCTCCACTGCAAAGTCACTCTATTTTTTCTTTGTAATTAACAAGTATTTTGGGGGAGGTGCAAATATCCTGTTTCTTCTCCAATTTTCACCTACTGATTTTAGCATCCTTTGGTGGATGGTGCTACAACTGTTATTCCTATGATGTTTGCCTAATGCTGATTACCTTTCCCTCTTACTCTGTCTTCATTTATTAACTGGAATTATTTTGTAAAGAAGAGCTCTCTCTTCTCTCCTTTTTATTTATTTATATCAGTATGGACTTATAGACTCTTATTTTATTAACAGGTTATCACCGAAAACTGTCATTTTTATTTTATTGCTCAAATTTTCCCAGTTTGGCCATTGAAAACTACTTCAGATTGGTACTGTGCCCTTCCAACAGGTCCCCATCATTTGCCACACACTGCCTTACTTTCTGGCTACAACATAGTTCAGGCTCATTTTGTGTTTTTCCTGCTTCAGCCCTGGAATTCACCACTTCTTCAAGAGCCCTGGTTTCATGGAGAATAGTATTAGAAACCAAGATCTTGAGAGCTGGGGGTGCTCACTGCCACTGAGATGTCATTGCTTCTAGGCCCTCTCAGCAGACACAACTAGAAAATATATGTATGTATACTACCCACCCACTCCCATCCCATACACACTGTATCTATCTCTCTATCATCTCTACTTCTATTTATCTATCTATTCATCATCTTTCTGTTATCTATCATCTGTTATCTCTCTCTTTCAATAAGTTCATGCTGATAACTCTAATTTCAGTTCAGCACAAAAGGGTTCTGTTTTGCTTTTCCTCTTTCCCTAATTGTTCTTCTTTCTCTGAAATAAGAAACCTGGCTCTCATTATCTATCATAATTTACTTGTATATTTACCCATATCCCAGTGAGAAAAAGATTTACACACTACTATATGTTATTTGTGTATGATTCTTTTTGTCTCTAACCTTATAGTAGCCAAGGTATTATTTTCCAAAATTACTCAGGTTCTTTCCTTTCCCACCCCTTTCACTCTGGTCATGTTGTTTATTTGTAATACAATGAAGTCCATGTGGTTAGTATTCTATTTTGAGTTCCCCTCTCTCATCCTTGTTAGTTTTAAGTATGTGAAACATGATTATGATCCTAAAAGCCAAAGCCATATAAAAAGATACTCAGAGAAATATCCCTCCCTTCTCATCTCTGACACCAAATTTCCATCCATTTCCCATCTGCCTCCTGTGTGTAACCAATCTCTTTAGATTTTTTTAAATGTTATTCCTGTATTTTGTGTGCACAAATGGGTATACACTTGTGTATTTTCTTTCTTACATGAAGCATAGCATACTTGAAAGTTGATAGCTTTTGCCCTTAGCTTTCTTCACTTAACAGTATATCCAAAATCACTCCAAATCAGTTCATAGAGATTGTCCTCTTTCTTCTTATAGCTGTTTAATACTCTATTGTGTGGATGTCCCATAGTTTCTTCACCCATTCCCTATGTATGAGCATTTAGGTGGTTCCAATATTTTGCAATTACAAGTAATGCTGCAATTAATTGTTGGCAGAATAGTCCTTGAAGAAGGGTTGCTGGCTCAATGGGTGAGTGCACATGTAGCTTTATTAGGTGTCACCAAATTCCCCTTCAGAAGAACAGCACATGTTTGCATTTCCCCCCAGCAATGTGTGAGCATAGCTGTTTCCTCACAGCCTCACCAACAAAATGTGTTCATACTTCAAAATTGTGGCCAGTCTAATAGATGAGAAGTGATGCTCGGTGTTGTTTTAATTCACATTTTTCTAATTATGAGTTTGAATATTTTCTCTTATGTTCAAGGTCCATTCTTTTTATCTTTTTTATGTGAACTGTCTATTCACGTCTTTTTCCCATTTTTCCTACTGTGTTTTTGGTCTTGTGTCCCTCAATATTAAAAACTTCTTTATATAGTAAGGGTATTAGCCATTTACTTGTAAATATTTTCTTCTAGTATGTTGGATTTTTTTCTTAACGTTCTATGCCCTTCTTTTAAGATCCAGGTTGATTGCTGAAATTCAGTGAAGTCTCCCTATCCCCACTATTCCAGTTTGGAAGTCGCTTCTTCCTCTGAGGTTAAATTTACCTTTCAAAGTAGTTGGTATCTTTTTATGGGGCACATCATATTTCACCTTGTATTTGAGTTATTTCTTCTTACTAGACGTGAAACACTATAAGGACAAGATCTGTGTCTTTTCTTTCTAGTCCCACACTGCCCGGCAGATGGTCTAGCACCTATCAGATATTAACTAAATAAATTTGTCAGATATACTGAATAAATGAACAAATAAAACCAGAAATATGACTCATCATCAGAGCAGAAGAGCTATATGCTGCTCTTCACCTGAATTTTTTTTTGTGTGTGTATATGCACACATGTGTAATTCTACATGTTAGGAGAATAGACAGTAAGGGGTCCAGTGGCAGAAATTGCTTCCACACCCTACTCTCATATATCAGTTATTTAAAGCAGGTAAGGAATATAGCAATGAGCCTATGGGGATATATTTTGTTTTTTAAGTCTTGCTAACAGAGATACCAGTTTACTGTTATTATGTAGATTCTTATCTAAACACCAATAACCACAAAAAACATTTACCTATATATTATGAATTTTACGATTATTGTCTGTATTTTAGTCGACTAGATTTGCCATAGCAAAGTATCACAGACTGGGTGACTTGAACAACAAATTCATTGTCTTCTAGTTCTGGAGGCTGGGAGTCTAAAATCTAGATGTCATTATGGTAGGCTCCTTTCTAAGGCTGTGAAGGAACAATCTATTCCAGGCCTTATCTTGGCTTGTAGATGGCCATCTTCATGTATCACCTGGCATTCTGTGTGCATGTCTTCAGATTTCCTCTTCTTATAAGGACACAGCCATATTGGGTTAGAGCCCATGCCAATGGCCTCATTTAACTTGATTACCTCTAGAAATGCCCTATTTCCAAATAAAGTCACATTCTGAGCTACTGGGGGCTAGGATTTCAACATATGACTTTTGGCAGGGATACAGTTCATCAACCCATAACCATCTGTGGAATGTTTTATAAATGCAGCCTAACATTATCTCTTCTTTAGAGAATTATGAACAATAGGATTTTCAGTCAGTGATATGTTCTCAGCAGATTACAACATGCTTGGGTGTTGTGTGCGGTATATTACCACATATCTATTTGATAAAGCTTCCAGCTAAGAAGAACAGGCATTAAATATGCACTTGTCGTAGATTCACATTGTTTCAACATAGGGGTCAGGATCCCTGGAGGAAGACCTCAAGTGCTCCTTGAAGTCTGAGAGCACAGAGGCAGTATATGAAGCAGCCACTGTGGAAGTAGACGCGTCTGCCTCCATCACACTACAAGTGCTGGTCAACACCCCAGGACACATTTCCTGCCTCTGGGTCTTTAATCACAGCCCCCTGAATTGCCAGCCGCACTTTGATTCACAAAACAGGTAAGGATTTGCAACCACCAATTTTGCAAGGACTTGCAACTTGAGGTACAACTGCAAGGGTTTTTAAAGGAATACTTTCTAGCCACAAAATGTTCATTTGGAATTTCTTATATAATATATGACATTATGTAGTTGTCAGAACCCACAGGATGTACAACATAAAGAAATGAACTCTAATATAAACTAGGGGCTTTAAGTAGTATCGATATTGGTTCATCAATTGTTACAAATATTCCACACCTCTGCAGGATGTTACTAATAAGGAATACTATGTGTGTTTTTTGGGGGAGAGAGCATATGTGGGAAAGAGCATATGTACTTTTTACTCAACTTTTCTGTTAATCTAAAATTGCTCAAAAAAATAAAGTATTAATCTAAAAATTGTGTATAGGTATATAGATATTAGGATGTAAGAAAGCAGGAAGTGGAATGTAACACATTGTGAAAGGAGTATTTTTCTTATGGTATCTACTGAAGGTGTCTTGTTTTTTAATTGGATTTTGTCTTAAAGATAAAAAAATAGAAAATTTTCATTATATTCTAGCTGCAGTAGCAAAAAGTTTTCTAAAGTAGTAGGAAGCTTCTTAGAAATGCTTAGGAAAGAAGATTTGGTTTTATCTATTTTGTTTCACAGTATGATGAGCAGAATTGCAATGATACGTGATATCCACAAAATATTTTAGTAAGAAATTAAGCTGCAGGGTGGAACATTGATTTCATGAACTGTAAAAGTATCTTAGCCAAGATTTGTGGGTGATCACAGCCAAGCCTAGATCTCACTCTGCACTGATTGCTGCCTCCTGGTTTCCTTGTCCTCTTGCAGAGACCAGATGGGGACAGGAAGCAAGGGGCACAGGCCATTTAAATGCCCAATTAATAATCCTAAAGCAGCCTTTCTCTCTAACTCTTGGGGGTGTTCTCGTGGCCCATAGCTGTAGAAGAGGCATCGTTTTTCCAGGAACATGCTGTGAATGACACCCAAATGGCCTAAAGGGGGTGGCATGCCACTTGACTGAGGTATGGGGGAACATCTCTGTGACTGATCTGTACCAGGTGTTTGTATTTGTTTCCAAACTCTTAAGCGATTTTCAGGACAGGAGCTATAATTCTGAGGTTTGGTTCTGAATCTTGGAACACATTCATTTTCCTTTCCTCTTTTAAGACTGTGTTACTCACTTCTGTGTTTTGGTTACTTGTATCTTGAGGTTAAACCAAAGCTCTCTTGTATTACGAATTTTGGCTTAAAGAAATGTTCTAGTAATCTTATTAAAATTTTATGCCACAGCAGTTCTCAAAAGATAGAGACCAAAAAGCAAAATAAAAAAAAATAGTGTTCTTTTCATTCCATGAGAGGCTGCCTTTGTTGCTGTAGGACAGGAGTTCCATTTATTAGCCAAAGTCATAGGGGTGTCTTATGTGGATTAGTTAACTTGGTACCAAAATACTTTAAGCAACTTTTCCACAGCAGAAAATTATAGAAATTTGTATCTGGCTTAGAGTTTCTTATGATATGTGCAAGAGTTCATAAATGATACTAGGAAAGTGAACATTTCAGAGAAAGCAAGCACATCACCAAACTATCTGCAGATGCAAATCAAATACATATCCTACTCATTTGCTGCCCATAATGATGCGCGCACAAGTACTCTTGAACCTGCTGCTTGGAGCTCTAAGCGGTGCTTCTCCAACTTAAGGTGCATTTGGATGGCCTGGGGATCTTGTTAAAAGGCAGATTTGGATTCAGTTGGTCTGGGCTAGCCCGAGGCTGTGCATCTCTGTTACCTCCCAGCTAATGCTAACGCTGTCGGAGGAAGACCACACTCTGAGTAGTAAGGATTTAAAGGTCAGAAAGTGTACATTTAAATCCAACATTCCTTAGTCAACTGCTAAACAATATTTTATGCTTAAATGAGAATGGGTATCACCAAACACATCAACATCGTTTCTTTGAAGAGACTGCCCTTAGCCAATTTATCTCTACCAAGTATCTGCAAAGTTAAAAATACTAACATCTTTCTCCTTACCTCTGTGTGATATGTCAGTGTAATGATTAGTTCGTAGGAAAATACCTTTTGCTTGAATTCTTTCCTCTCGAGAGGGAGAAGCACAAAACAGAATGTTCTATATCTCGGTGTTTCGTGCTTGTGCAGTGATGTGGTTCTGCAAATGGGGAACTGACGCTGTGGCCAGGTGACTGGGCCGATATGGCTGTGGCGGGCGCTTCGTCACTGAAAGGAATGGTCCGCCACTGTCCATGGGGGTGTGCCAACAGGCCCCTGCAGTTTTGGGTAGGAGTTTCCCCTCCATGGGGTGCAAGAAGCATGAGATGAAAGTGCTAGATGGAGGGCACTCACTCTCAAAGGTAGGACCTCATAAAAGTCAAGGCCGAATTAACCAGGCTCAGGCTGAGCACTGGGTGTGCGACAGACTGCGGCCTCCACGGAGCAGCCCTGGGTGCCAGGGTAGAGATGGAATGTGGGAGCCGCCATTCTGACTCAGTATGAAATTTTATGTTTTTAGTTTCACCCATTTTCCAAAATAACCAGTTCTCTTTCTTGTTTTTCAGAAGAGTTGTTTCCATGGTCATTTTGAAAATGACAGAAACCCAAGCTGGAGAATACCTGCTTTTTATTCAGAGTGAAGCTGCCAATTACACAATATTGTTTACAGTGAGTATAAGAAGTAAGTGCAGCTTGCTCCTAGGTATTCGCAGTATTCCAAAGCAGTGGTTTAGAACTCATGAGCTTTTTACCAGCTGCTCTGGACACAATATTCAGGTTTCCATCAGCACGTCGTTGAGTGAATTTGCTTTAAACATCCGTATAACCCACTGAGACTCTGACATGATCCCTGGGCTACCAGAATTCATGCTCCTAAAAATCCAGGACATCCTTTTTTCAGTGACAGATGGCTGACAGGGGAGAAAATGGAAAACATTTTGATCTGGAAGTCAGAAGCCCCGGGTTCTTATTCTAGATCTGATACCCCACCTGTGGCAGGTCACTTGATCTCCATGAACCTCTATTTCCTTACCTGTGCAGTAGTGCCCACATATCCACGGGGAATCCGTTCCAAGACTCCAGGCAGATGCCTGAAACCGTGGACGGTACTGAACTCTATGTATACTATGTTTTTTCTATACGTATGTAGGGTAAGGTTTCATTTATAAATTAAGCACAGTAAGAGATTAACAATAACTAATAATAAAATAGAGAAATTATAACAAGAGACTATAATGAAAGCTATGTGAATGTGGTCTCTGTTTCTCAAAATATCTCACTGTATTGTCCTCGCCCTTCTTGTGATGATGGGAGGTGATAAAATGTCTGTGTGATGAGATGAAGTGAGGGGAATGACGTAGGCACTTGACATGGCATCAGGCTACTACTGACCTTCTGAGGACATGTCAGAAGGAGGGTCATCTGCTCTGTACCATGGCTCACTGTGGGAAACTGAAACTGTGAAAGGTGACATGGCAGATAAGGGGGGACGACTGTAAAATGGGGGTAGAAATACATCCCCCACAGGACTGTAAGATCATGGTGCTTTCCGACAGAGCTCTCTGAGGTGATGGAACCGTGTGTCTGCGCTTTTCCATGCAGTAGCTACAGATACATGTGGCTGTTGAACATTGGAAATGTGGCCTGTGTGATTGAGGTACCAAAGGTTTGATTTTATTAATTTTAATAAACTAAAAATGGAATTGAAATAGCTATGTAAAGTTAGTGGCTACTGTATGTTTATACAAGTGCCAGGTCACTGTGCCAACTTTAAGGAACAATGCAGTGTGCTTACCCAGGGCGGCAACCACGCAGCTGGCAGCATCTCCCATGGCATGCGTCTCTGGCTCCTCACTCCCTCCCGATGGCACAGACCCAGTGCCGTACGCACTCACCGCCTTACCTCACACCACAGACCAGGCCTGGCTGTGGTGCATTCATAGCTCCTGCCGTTAGGGCCAGAGCAGTGTTCCCAAATCTCTGGGTGAGTGACACTTTAAATCAGGTGCCCTGGCTACACCTTGATCGACTTGCTGGGCCCAACTTCCTTGCCAACGACTTGGAGGCACGAAGCATGGTGCATCCCACCCACAGCGGGGCCCTGGCTCAGCAGCCACCCTTTGCTGAGCGTGTTCTGCGTGTACCATCTCAGACCCTCACAGCCATCCCGCCTTCATGTAGGTGAGAAAATGGGCATGCTCACAGGTGTGAAAGTGGGCCCAGCACAGGCGGAGTGTAGCCAGGTCTACACCCATTGCCCTGGGTCTTGTGCAGGAATGCATAACCTTGTAGGCAAAGATGCTGACAGAGAGAGCACCTATGCTCACTAGATTTCCAGAGGTGTCATTTTACTGGGGTTATGAGTGGGTTGTCTAAAGCCAGCCTACAAGACAAAAATCAGATAAGATCAAAATTTGTCAAAATTTGTTCAAAAAGCCCTTCAAGGACTCGGAAATGTATAGGACAAGGCAAATGAAAGGTCAGGAAGTCTTTGACTTTGGTCTATTCCCTGCCTCTCCCCAGTTCCCTGCCCTCCTCCGTGGGATGGTAAATCATCTGTTTGCTTCAGGTTGGAAAATAAAAGATTTCTTGCTTCCTTTTTCTCTCTCTTTTTTTTTTTTGCCAAGGGTTTTATAGTTGAATAAAGTTGTATAAGGAAAGGGAACATCTACTGTGTTTCTGTAATATTTAGGGTATCTTATTTTCACTTAAGATTTACCATGTAAAAATGTAACAATCATTCGAGTCAATTGTATCATGTTTTTAGCATTCTGCTGGGTGGTGGGGTTCAAAAAATCAGGTTGGGGAGATTTGGCAACAGCTAGTGTGAAAAAAAAGGAAAGGGTTTAGTGAACCACAAGCTCAGTGTTAACCAACAGTGGAGCACGGCTGCTAAAGAGGAAATCTGAACTTTGGCAGTGTTCATGAAAATAGAACAGCTAGGTTAAGGAAATTAATGGGAGATTATTATTTTCAGTTCTACATTTTATTTTCAGACAAATATTGGCAAAACAGAGCAACCAGGATAGTGAAGAACTTGCAATTCCTTAAATTAGGAGCAGCTGAAGGAATTGGTAATGTTCAGCATAAAGATAAGGAACTCTTTTGAGGAAAGAAGATTGTGGTGTAACTTAGAGGAAATTCTGGCATATGAGTCAGGAAACCTGAGCTAACTGGTTAAAATCCCTTGGATAGTTAATCATCTCCCCTGTCCTTGGTTTCTGGTTTTAAATATTTGAAAGATTTCATGTGGAAGCAAAGCTACACATTAAAGAAAAATTGCTCAAGGGTTAGAATTGGGACTGCTGGTCAGAAATTACAGGGAAATAAAGTAAAAGCCGTCACAAAATGGGAAAAGATATTTGCGATTCACATAATCAAAAAGGATTAATGATTGTAATAGGTAAAGCTTCTACAAATAAATAAGGGAAAAACTCAATAGAAAAATGAACAAAAGACATGAGTGGGCATTTCACTTTCAGAATATGAAACCTAAGTGGTCAATAAACATATTAAATTAATAATTGGGAAATGCAAATTAAGATCACAATGACATACCATTTTATACCCACTAGATTGTTAAAAATTAAGAAGTCTTAGTACATATATAGAGAATTGGTATGTCTCATATCTTGCTATGTAAGTGTAAATTATTATAACCACTTTGGAAAACAGATTGTTATGATTCATAATGCTGAATGTGTTCATCCCAATTAAACCAGTGGTTCCATTTCTAGATATGTTATTAAACATCCACACCTGCCTCAGTGAAAAAGTATAGAATGTTCACAGCACCACTGTTGGTAATACAAAAAACAGGGAACAAACTGAATGTCCAGTGCAAGAAAATAGAATAGATTGTGGTGTATTCACCAATGGAATGCTATGTAGCAGTAAAAAAAAAAAAAAAAGATACCTACATGCAAAGCCATGGATGAATCTTAAAAACATAAAGTTGTTTGAAAAAAATGATGTTGTGGAAGACAACATATTGAGTGATTTCTTTTGTTAAAGCTCAAAAACAAAATAAACCAGTATATTGTTTAGGGACACATTTCTGTGTGGCCAAATATTTTTATTATTTTTTTTAATTGAAGTACATACATAAAATGCACAAGTTTTAGTGTACAGTTTGATGAATTTTAACATGTGTATACACTCATGTAAACATGTGGTGAATTACTTTTAAAAGCACAGGAATGATAAACACAAAATTCAGGATAAAAGCTACCTAGGGTTGATAGATGGGGAGGGGCTCAAAAGTAGATTCAAAGTTATTTATTAATATTCAGGTTGTTAAGTTGTATGTGAGTCCATGAATATTCATTTTGATTATATGCTTCACATTGTTATTTCATATATTATTTTGTATATATACATAGAAAGTAATACATAATAATTTTAAACAAAAATATTGTAAGGAGGGAAATTGGAATTCAATATAGGGAAACTTCCTTTAAAAAAAAAAAAGACTTGTTGACAACGGAACTATCTACTCTGGGAGTTAGTGAACTCTTGTCTGTAGAGGGGTCCAAGCAGAAGCGGAAAGTTTATGTTAAGCTCTGTAGGGAGTGGAAGACAGGGGGTGGGGCATGAGGGGTGATGGTCCAACGTGAACCCCCCGATTCTCTTCCAGTTCTAACTCCATCCAACTGTATTCTACATTTCTCAATCAGGATATTCCTGCCTAGTTCCAGATGAAATTACTGGTCTTCAACTGCATATGGAGGGTTTTAGTCTTTATGTTAGTTCTAGTTTTCTTTCTCCTGTGCATGGCAATATTCGTATGTGTCCATGACTTCACTCCCCTTATTTATTTTAGTGGTGTGTGCACTGATGAAGTACCCAAAGAAACTGGCAAAGAGGATAAATACTCCAGTGGGTGTTTCAGCCAGAACTGAATTTAATATGTTAGTGAGGAGACATATACCATCACATATATATATTTGGAGGGGAGCAGAAGATACTGCTGTGGTATAAAATATTAACACTGCTTAATGATGTCGAATTCTTTTTTTGAGGGGGCTGCCAAGACGATTATTTTTAAAACATTAAAATGTGAATAATTTATGATGCTTTAGACACACTGCTGTACACATTGCGGAGACCTTACTTTCGAAAAATGGAAAATCAGGACGCCTTGGTCTGCATCTCTGAGAGCATTCCCGAACCGACCGTGGAATGGGTGTTTTGCGATTCACAGAGTGAAAGGTATGACGTGTACGGAGATCACCACTCTTGTTTGTTACTCTACTTTTTGGACTTTGTCTAATATAGACCTAAATATCTATCATACTGTCTGGATAGGTTCATTTATCAGCATGTTAACAGGAGGTTTTGGCTCCTAAAAGAACTTCCCAGGGAGAACAGGACTCCCCAGGGAGGAAGATGGGGGATGTTTTAGTAAGGAGGCCTTGCAGAACTCAAATCTGATGTCACTCAACTGCAGGGTCCTCGCCAGACGTCACACTTTACCAGTAAAAGCCCTTGAAAGTTGCAGGATTGTTGGCTGCCTGAGCGTCTGGCTGGGGAGAAGGATTTGCTCCTGGGTCCTGAGATGTGGGTAACGTCCCTCAGGGACACCTTGACCATCTCCCCTGTTAGTTCTGGGGACTCTAGGGAGTTTTGCACTCTTAGCCTCTCTCCTTGTCACTGGCTGGCCTCTTCTGTGCTTCAAAGAAAAGACACCTACCTTGTTAAGCTGTATTAAAATCTAATCATGCGATTCCTTTTCTCTCTTCTTTTTCCCCCATCTTCTTTCTCAATTTTTCCTTTCTTTCTCTTTTGAAATAACAAAAGAGATCACCAAACATGAAAAACTGTAAACTGTTTTATTATATAATCCTCTCCAGGGTTATTCTAAGGGTTGAGATAATGATTAACTAACTAGTTAATTAACTAATTAATTAATGGTTAAGTAGTTCCCTTAGGAACTCTTCTCTGAAGCCATAGATCCGGGTTTGCTTGCCTTTTGACCTGCTCCTTTCCTGGCGGGGTTAAACAGGCTCTAGAACCTTTAGCTTTATTGTTCTCCTGAACATTCCTTGGTAATGTTAAAACATGTTTAGTCAGATGACATTGATTCTCTAATTGCAGCTGTAAAGGAGAAAGTCCAGCTGTCGTGACAAAAGAGGAGAGCGTGCTTCATGAATTGTTTGGAACAGACATAAGGTGCTGTGCAAGAAATGAGCTGGGCAGGGAATGCACCAAGCTGTTCACAATAGGTAAGACCACAGTATCGTGGACCTGTATTCCAGAGACTGCTCTTTAGAAGCAGTCTGGGACCAACCATATATTCTTCCTGTCAATCTCTTTGGTAATCACCCAACTTCAGAAATTCTAGAGTTCCTTTATACCATTTCAAATGTCACATGGATTCTCTAACTGCTGATTTCTTCATGAAAGAGTAGTCAGTCTCTAAAAGATTGTCAGCGCGGTTCATAACATTTGTTCTTTAGAATGTTCAGGATGAATTTTGTGATAAGGAAAACAACTGTGTTTCTTACTTGGGATGTCTTCATCTTCTAGATCTAAATCACACCCCTCAGACCACACTGCCACAATTATTTCTTAAAGTAGGAGAACCCCTATGGATAAGGTGCAAAGCTGTTCATGTAAACCATGGATTCGGGCTCAGCTGGGAATTAGAAAATAAAGCCCTGGATGAGGTAATGTGACCAATTTGCCTTCCAGAAATGCAGAAACAATGAACTGATAGTACAGGTTGAAATCATTAAATTCCAACTCTGTTTTATTAAAATCTAGGGCAGCTACTTTGAGATGAGTACCTATTCCACAAACAGAACTATGATACGGATTCTGTTTGCTTTTGCATCATCGGTGGGAAGAAACGACACCGGGTATTACACTTGTTCCTCTTCAGAGCATCCCAGTAAATCCGCTTTGGTTACCATCATAGGTAATGCAGGCTGTTCTCACAATGTGTATTCAAACTGTGGTTGCTTTCTTGTGGAATGTGAGGTGTGTACTGAAAATTCTGATTTCAATCTAAATATTAGTGTCAAAAAGCCGAGAAAGAAACGAATTAGAATAGCTTTGCAAATAGAAGCTGCCTATGCCACTCCCTTCCCTCTTCCAGTTTAACCACGCTGCATGAGTGCCACCGTCTGTATACTTACCACGTTGTAATGTGAGCATTGCTTGTGGGTTTTGTCTTCCAGCGGACTGTAAGTTTCTTTAGGAAGGGGCTAATTCTTTCTATTCATATTGTATCGACATTGGGTGGGCTACCTAGGATTTGAAGCTAGCCACGCTTAAGTAGACTCAGATTAGGTGGCAGCCTTCAGCCGTGATGGAAATGATAGGAAAGGAAGGGCTTCTCCTACCGAACTAATAAGGAAGTGTTCCTTAAGGAGACCTTGTGAATATTTCTGGCAAGACTGTGCTTTTATTTGTGCCCTGAGGTTATTTCACGTGGGATGTGTCCCTGAGAGAGCTGTTCTGGATGAGAACAGGCGCTCTCAACTGTCATGGACCCCAGTGGGTACCTGGTTGACTGGGCTGGGGGAGTCTTTCAATCTCCTGAAATTGTCTGCAAAACCTTCAGGTTTATTTATACATTTCTTTGGAAAGTGAGTCAGTTTTGTACATCCAAGTCTTAGAGGAATCTTGATTCCAGAAGGTGGTGAGCTCAGGCTTGTTCCTGGGGTCAGGACCCCTGTGTTTCCTGCTGGAACATCAGATGTGACCAGCTTCATGCCCACATCTGAGTTTGCTTATGTTAAACTGATGAATAAACATTTTATTTTATCTTCTCAATGCATTTTCACACGAGTCACATTGTCTAATTTATTCATGTTTTTCTTTTCTTTCGCAGAAAAGGGATTTATAAATGCTTCCAAATCAAGTGAAGATTATGAAATTGACCAGTATGAAGAGTTTTGTTTTTCCGTCAGGTTTAAAGCATACCCACAGATCAGATGTACGTGGACCTTCTCCCGCAAATCATTTCCTTGTGAGCACCGTGGCCTTGAAGACGGGTACAGGTGAGACAGTCCAAGGCCAACATTCCATTGTTGGCACCATGCTTCCCGTTGCCCTTGAGAACAGTTTCGAATTAAGAGTTCACATATTATTGAGTTGACACTGAAGACGAGAACAGGCACAGCAGATGTGAGGACGCAGTACGTTTTAACATCCGTTCAGACAGTGTAACACCCCCACGAAAAAAGGAAAGAATAATATTAGTTTACGTATGGTTCCATGGCATTTTCTGAGTCACCAGATTGTCACTTCCTATTTGAGGGGACTGTCCTGTAGTACACGGAGTCTCCCTGAGCACATTTGTGGATGATTAAGGAAGTAAAACCCCTTAAAAACAGTAAAACATTACCTATAGGTGTATTGATTTAAATTTTTAAAAAAACAAATGCAGAACTGGCCCAGTAATAAATGCTGAAGGAAAATTTCACTTTCCTAGGGATTTGTACCACTGTATTCAAGGTTCTTTTATGGGAGAAATCTTCATTCCCTCTTTGAAGAACAAAACATGTTTTTCTTGGATTTTCCATAGCTACAACATCTCTTATCTCTTAAAATTAATCTTATGTAACATGATTTCAGGCTAGACTGAGGACTAAGGCCCTTGTCATCTCTAAAGCAAGCCAGTGGTCCAGAGTAAATTGTTTCTCAACGTGTGGTCCATAAACCAACTACCTGGGAATGATGGGGGCAGATGTTAAAAATGTGGATTCCTGGCTTTCATTCCAGACATGCCAAACCGAAATTGGGGCAAAACGCCTAGATTCTACATTTTTAATGAGACTCTCCAGTAACTCCTTTCATGGGTCTAGATCCAGGCCAAGCAATACAGTAGGTACTAGCCATGTATACAGCTGCTGAGAACTTGAAATGTAGCTATTCCAAATTGAAATGTGCTGTAAGTGTAAAATACACACTGAGTTTTGAAGACATAGTATGAAAAAAAAGACAATGTCAAGTATCTCATTAACAATTTTTATATTGATTCTTTGTTCTGTAATAGTCATTTGCATATATTGAGTGAAATAAAACCTATTATTACATTTTACTTCTTTTTCCTTTTTTAATTGTAGCTAACTACAAAATTTGAAATTGCATCTGTGGCTTGCATGATATTTCTGTTGGCTAGCCCTGGTCTGAAGGAAAGAGGAAGGGTTAGGCTCTTTGACCTTATTCTTCTCAGTGTCTGTTTCATGATTGGTGTGCTCTTTTCCATACCCACAAGTGAGTTGTAACTGATCCTTGCTCGCCTTTTTAAAGAGTCTCAATGGCAGAGTTTGCACGGGAGTGTCTGCCTTCTCTCGCCCCAAACTCCGCATGTTCAAGCGTTCACTTTTCAGTTAATTACGAATGGAGCCTCTGGCCTGTGAACTGACTGATACACATTTCCCACACTTCCCAAACTCAGAAACGCCGCCTTAGAGGGATGCCCCATTGTCCTGAGCCTTATGCTGAATCATCAGACTTTTGAAACTAGGAGGCCAGAGAGTCACCCTGTCTTCCCTGTTGAACTGACTACCCCAGGCAGAAGGCTGTCAACGGTGTCGTCATCCCCTCCCTGCCTTGCGTGTGACTCAGTGTCAGAGGAGCTCTTAGCACCAAGGGATTCTCCTCTGAACCTGATTCGGAGGTGGAGAATCAACTCAGTTTAGTTGAGCAAATACTCCCTTCGTATCTTCTCATGGGCTTGATGCCGTGAGAGGCTACAGAGTGAATGAAGTAATGCCTGTCTCCCACTCCCCACCAAATTTACACGGGCACCTTTCAGTGCCAGAGGCCACCTGGGAGATCATTGCCACTGTGCTGGGGACATGTCTCACAACTTCTTGAGATTTTACAGAATCACTCATTACAGGACCATGTGTCTGTTATATGGGTCACGGGCCAACCTAGTGGGCTGGTAAATGTGGTTTCTGTCCATGGTCCCAGTTTGCATCCTGACCCATGCTGTTATCCTGTGGAGGGAGTCAAATAAATAAATTAGGACAGATCCAGTTTCTTGCAGTGTTTTGTACCTCTCTTGTTCATAGTTACCTGCTAGTATAGGTATCCTCTCTGGGTGTAGAATCTCACAGCTGAGTTTATAAGCTTCGTAAGGAAAGGTGCCCTGTCATCTCTCCATGTCTGTACAAAGCCTCGTTCAGTTCACATGCGCTTAATCAATGTGTGAATTCATTTTCGTCTGGAAAATGACTCAAAGTGCAGGGCCTGGACCAAAGATGAATCAGTGGCACCCTCTTTGCACTACAAGGACCATACAGACAGACTTAGCACAACACCTAACACTCAGTGCTTATTTTATTTTAAAAGTTCCTGGAGCACTGCAACGCTTGGTGATCATCATATACCAGGAGCCATGCCCCACTTAATACACAGCGCAAAGGGAAGGCGGAGTCTCCTTCTTCTTGAAAAAGGTCCTCCGAAAAATGAATAATCAAAAATGTGGGCACAGCTCTGCAGGCTCTAAATGTCTTTCGCTCTCCACGTGAGGCTCCATGTTGAGATGGGGGTGGCAGACTCAATAATAATCTGAGATTTTTTTTCCACTTATTATAAAAAGTTTCAATTTGACAAATAAACAGAAAGAACGGGGTAGTGAACATCCTTTGCAACCACCACGCTAGACTGAACAAATTTAACCAAAGTGAAATTTGTAGAGTATTTTAAATCATGTTAACTGGTTTAAAAGCAGAGTGCCCTAGGGTTTTTCTGTGTAACTGAAAGGTCTATGTAATAACACTCCTTCTGAAAAAGCTCTGGTGTGGCTGTGGTGCGTGTGCCAGGAATCTTGCAGCTTCCCCACATTCACAGCTTCATTTCTCCAATTTACTTCCTCAAATATTGCACCAAGGTTTATTAAGGCTTGCCTTGTCACGTTTACATTGTATTAAATGATAACTTTCCAGCAGTCTTGATACCTTGGTCTTGAGAAAAAGTCTAGGGTGTTTCATCTGTTTGTTTGCATAATTTCCTATCTGTAGAGACTTGATTATAAATACCAAATCTACCTTAGTTTTCCCCAGTTTCATGGTTAAAAACAAAACAAAACCTATTAGAGTGTTATCATTATTTAGTAATTTCTTCTGAAAGGCTATCCTTAGCTTGCTCAGTCCTTGTGTTTTCATTTTCCCTGAAGTATTTAATTTCTCAACTCTAGGAGTCTTAAGTTCTGCCCATAGCAGGTGTCAATCAGAGCTTGCTTGTAAACATCAGTGTGGTGGTCGTGTGGGTTCGGCCTGATGAGACCCGGTCCTTCTCAGGAACAAACAAAAGCAGGCTCCCCAGTCAATAAATGATGTGTAATTACAAAAGTGTATTGAGCCTCCCTGGGAGGATTTTTTTTTCTCCCCTAAGACAGATGAAACTTGAGTGTGTAGAGAGAAAGAAGGAAAAGATGTTGGGGTTAGTGAAATACCTAGAACCCCCACCCAAACTCTGCCCCCCTTCATTTCCACTGTTTGTGACAGCCACGTAGATCCCTTTCTCCTAGAGACCCCACTCACTGAGAATAAAAGAAACTTCTTTGAACTCTTACCATCTGCCAGACAGTGTGCAAAGTCCTTTCTACGAGTTATCTCATTTGATGTTCACAATCCCATTTTATGAACTATGGAAACAGGCTAAGTTCCTTACCCAGTCACATAGGGCAAAATCAATACCTTTCATTCATTTCAGTTTTCTGAAATTACCTTTAAAAAACAAATAGAAATAACACCAATAATTCCACCTCTGGAGATTACATTTCAGACTTTTTCTACATAACCACCATGATAGAAATATATAAACATAGATTTTTGTATAAATAGGATATTGACTGTGCCATTTGTAAACTGATTTTTCATTTAAAATATATCATGGTTTTCTGCTCTATGTTAATAAGTATATCTTACATTATTTACCCTATCATTTTAATGGCTGCATAGTATTCCACATTCTAGAAAATTTTATTGTAACTCCTGTTGATGGGCATTTACTTCAGTTTTTCTTTTCATCTTTCTTTTTATTTTAATGTGATTTTCTGACTTAAAATGCCTCAAAGCAATGATAATCTAACACATACATTGTGTTTACCATGTGCCAGGCACTATTGTAGTCACTTTGTATAAAACTGCTTTCATAAAGATTCAATGAAAAGTTCTCCTCCCACAACCATATGAGGCAGATACTATGACTGGTTTCATTTCCCAAGTGAGGAGGCTGAGGTAGAGAGGTTAAGTGACGTGCCCAAGGTCACACACTGGGCATGGCAGAATTGGGATTCCAGCAAAAACTGTGGACTTCAAAGCCTGTGGTTTAGCCATATTACAATGCTGCCTCCTAATACCAACTCATTTCAAAAGTGTGTTTCTCAAACCCAGTGTACAGGAAACAAAAATAGAAGGCTGCTCGTTAGTTATTTAGAAATAAAAGCCTCTTTATGAGCCATGCCATGCTTTGCTATTCCGGTGTTAATGGTTGTATCCCCCAAGGCTTGTGGGCTCTCTGAGCTTCATGTTTTATAGACTCATACAAAATCATCAGCACCTCTTACCCACCCCCTGATATCTTTGTCTAACTCAGGATAAAAATTTGAACAGATTCAACCGCAGCTGGGCTGTGTTCCCAAACCCGAGGAAACAGCAGTCCCAGGAAATGGACGTGCCAGATTCCCCAGCAGGTGCTGCTAAGGCCTACAAAGCCACCTCCAGGCCTGTCAGCCCTTCATGCTTCAGTTTCAGAAGCTCTCAACCTCCCCAATACCTGCCTTTTTATTCTGCAATCCGATGCAACTCTGATAATCCTTTGCCCTTTGAATAAAACGTTCTTTACAGAAAAACCACTCCCTGGGAAGAGCCTGCCTGTCCTTAGCTCCCCTCATCTAGGTGCTAAATGGAAAACTAAAATGACCTGTATTTGGATTGTACAAAAGAGAAAACTATAATCATAATGATAATATGTCTTAGTCGCCAAGATATTATTTCACTGTGAACTTCAATTCTTTGACTGTCCGTCTCGTGCCAGCTAGCCATTTTTAGAAAAAACCCCAGGGAAAGAGGAAATTTTGGATGTCCCAGTCACCTAATAGGCTAGTCCCCTTGGGATTCCTGAGGAGGTTCGGCGCTGGGTTAATGTCACACAGGCGGACGGGCAGTTTTAAACAACCTAGATCTTCCATTTTCTGTTCGGACTATTTGTGTGGCCAGCTTCCTACCTGGAAGAGAGAGAACATTTCAGATGCTGTGTCATCTATTCCATGGCTTATCATACGCCAGTAAGACAGCACAAAAGAATTAGGAGCAAAAAAAGTTTACAAAGCATTTTCCTTTGATCGGCAGACTGATCGATAGTTCTATCGGTAATTCCTTTCCTGTCGAATTGATGGGTGCTCCTGGCATGGTCCTTGCCTAGCCACACTGGCTTCCTCTTTTATCTCCTCTCCTCTTCCTTCGGGGCCTTTGGCTGCTGTCCAGTGAGAATTACATTTTTCCCTTGTAGAAGCTCATGTCGTTTGTTTTTCTCTTCTTGGACCACGTGAACTCTTTCTTCCTAAAGTCCGGAAATCATATGTAGCCATGTCTGCTTTCTCCCTAGGGTTATAATGGGGCTTTCCCCCATCTTTCCATCAATTCCGCTTTACCAACCATTTCCGTCTTGTCCAGAAGTAGGTCAAGATAAAAAAAAAATTCCCCTTTTTACTTCTTCACCCTTTCTGTTAAGAAGGCAAACAAAAAACTTGTTAAATGCTCAAATGTTGAGTCAGAGAAATAAATCCTCTCATTACCGGCCGCAGTCAGATTACCTCTGAGTTTGGGAGTGAAGGGCACAAAACACTGGTGTCAGATAGACCGGGGCTCAAATGCTGCTCTAGGAGTGTGTTGCCAAGTGTGCGTGTAAAAATCCTAGGGCTCAGATGGGATTCTGTTCTCTCCTCCATCTTCTGTGTCCAGTCCAGCACCTGCCTGTTATTTCTGTTTTCCTGGGGCAGCTGGGGTTTTCTCTCTCCTCTCCTTTCCCCTTCCATAGGCAACGTGTGTCTTTTCATGCTCAGAATTCTCAAATCTGAACTTTCACTTCTCCCACAGGACTGCCCACACTGGACTGTTACTGCTTACTTACACGTCTGCCTTCACCACCAAACTGTAAATTCCATGAGAACAGAAACCTAATTTTTCTAACTCACTGCTGTATTCCTGTTCCTCTCACAAATAAGCCGCATTATTGACAGTGGAATGAATGAATGAATTCATTCATTCATTCTTGGATTCCTACAGCTGCCTCCAGACTTCCCTCTGATGAACTTTTGCTACCACCATCAGTCTAAACTGAAATACTGCTCATGGCATTGCTCTCCTGCTCTGGAATCCACAGCTTCTTGCTGATCTTTCCAGCAGGTCTAAGCAATCAGGCTTGTGTTTCAAGGTCCCTGATTAGTTGGCCCGTCCCTACCCACTCAGCCCTCTTTCTACTACATCCTCACATGTGCCTCTGCGCCCAGGGGCCTTCCGTTCCTCTCCACTGTGGCCTTACGAATTCCTGTCCCATGTCTTAAGTGATGCGGTTGCCTCCCCTTTGGGTGTCTTTTCTTTTGCCCTCTCATTAAAACCAGCTCATCCTCGGAGACCTGGCTCAGTTCCTGTCTATGAAGTTTTCTGAACTTTTCTCATCTATAATGGCCTCTGCTTTCTTTAATCTACTGGCTTCCAGTTTAATGCTTCATTCTATTTATGGAGGTTTTGTCTGCCCACCTGGATTATGATATCTTTGAGGACTAGAGCCATATTTTAGTCTTATGCATCCTGTTTACATTTCTACCCTGAACATACATAGTTTTTTTTTTTAACTTTAAGTAGACTATATTGAAGTGGCCTAATTAAATATCTTCTGAACAAATAGATTTTCTTACTCTGTTTTAAGCGAAATTTTTTTCTAATTCTTCAATGCATGAAGGCATATTCAACAGCTCCTTGATCCCTGCCTCTCCCTACATCATCCAACCTCCCAGTACAATATTCAGCATCTCGTATAACTGGCAAGCATGGCGGATAACCCCCAATATCAAGCTATCCATGTCAAAATGTTCTGAGGGCTGATGAGCACTCTAAGCAGAGCCTGCTGAGACGACCCACAGATTTCTATGCAAACTCAGTGAATTTGAGCCCTCATCACTGTTAATTGCCATGTAAGTCAAGGCCTGGTCCTAGGTCCTGCCTTGCGGCAACATCAGAGAGCCAACCTTTCAGGGACCAGCAGAGTAATGGGTTCATCTGCCACCGAGGTTCCTTCTGAGAAGTCAGACTAGTCCAGGATGTATACAAAAGTCGGGGCAGGTAACTTCTTGTCCCTCTTATGAGCTCCAGCCTAGATCAGTGCTTTTCAACCTCTGATATTTCTACAAGTCACACGGAGATCATCTTAAAACATAAGACAGTAGGTCTGGGGTGGAACCGGAGGTCTTGCATTTCTACCAAGCTCCCAAACAATACCGAGGCTGATGCTGCCTGTCTGTGGACCACACTTTGATTATCAAAGACCTAGCCTACAGACACCTCCCTGTCCAGTGAACTTTAGGGAGTGAGAGTCTCAAGAAAGACTCCCAGAAACACTGACATCCATCTCAGCATCTCCTATAACAATTTGGCTAAACCTATCTTTAATTCTTTTCAAACAGCGTATCTAAGTTTTGCAACCATAAGCACCAGCCAGGAGAATATATATTCCGTGCAGAAAATGATGACGCCCAGTTCACTAAAATGTTCACACTGAATATAAAAAGTAAGTTACATTGTCAAGAAACTGAATTTTAATCTTACAACTCTTTAATTATTTACTCACCATGACAAGAAAGAGCCAGGTAATGGCTTAGAAGGGATGCTATCAAACTATTTTTATATGCTGAAGTCATCTGAGATTTTACTTTCATATCTACTGGCATGGTTTATATATCTTTCTGTGTTCATCCTTTGAAGCTAAGAGGCTACCTATTCCATGTCCTTTCTGATTATGCCTTAGTGTTGTGACTTACTGACTTTAGGACTTTAAAAGTCGTCTTTAAGGAAAGGCCAGAAGTCCTACTATGTGCCATTTATTTGGTTTAATGATTTTTTTTGTTTCTTTGGTCATCAAAAAGATGAGAGTACATTTCATAGGACTTTTTGTAGATAGTTCTACAAAAAGTATCATTCTGATTCTTGCAGGTCCGCAGAGGTCTACACCTCAGCCCCCTGCAGGCGGGGCCTACCAGTAACAAAGCGGTGTTCTGCAGATAGGCGGTAGGGCTGCCTGTACAGAAGGTTACATGACAAGGGGAAAAAGGGAGTAACCAGAGGTCTTGAGTCATCCTGTATGAGACACATCCCAGAAGCACAAACTGCTTGGCATAAATGGGTACCCTATATGATGCCAACTTTGGAGAAACTTCTGGAAAGGACCCTACCACACAGCTTATGTCACGTGTTGTTCTTTACAGGGAAACCTCAAGTGCTAGCGGAAGCATCAGCAAGCCAGGCTTCTTGCTCCTCTGATGGGTACCCATTGCCATCTTGGACCTGGAAGAAGTGTTCAGACAAGTCTCCCAAGTAATAAGGACATCGGTGTCTCTTGTGTGGGAAGAACATAAAACATACGCTCTCTCCAACGTACCGAGTCTTTCTCATGGATACAGTTTAAGAAGAAATGATGCAGTGTTTAAAATGCTTGCCTTCTGAGCCAACCGCAATTCTAAGTGGTCATAGATTGTGCCTGAAAACTTACAACAGACCAATCTCTCTTAGAGTTCAGTAGAGAAGCCCTGGTATCTGTCGGTCTGTCAATCTGCGGACAGCCCCAGCTGTCTAACTTCTCTGTCTGCCATTTCTTTTCAGCTGCACTGAGGAAATCACCGAAGGAGTTTGGAATAAGAAGGCTAACAGAAAAGTATTTGGACAGTGGATATCGAGCAGTACTCTAAACATGAGTGAAGCCATCAGAGGGTTCCTGGTGAAATGCTGTGCATACAATTCTCTGGGTACATCTTGTGAAACAATCCTTTTAAACTCCCCAGGTACACACCAGGGCTGCTGTAATGCGCCACCATTAGGAATTCCCCACTAGACGGTAGCAAGCTTTTATTTGGGGGAATTTTACAGGAGAATGTAAGTTAAAGAAGGCTTTTGAGTCAGGCAAGAATCCCCGCTGAATGTGTGCTACTGTGTAGGTCAGGGGCAGGGCAGCTTCCACTTGCATTACTATGACTCATGACCCAGAGAGGTGTAAGTAGCACTATAAAATCCCAGAATACTGAATATCTACCAAAAGACCCCAATTCTAGGGAAACAGATTGAGTAATTAAGAGTCCTACTATTTTCTCTTTGGCTGCAATCCTTATTTGCGTTTAGCCCGCTGTTTAATAATTTTTAGCTGTGTTTTTTAGAAACTTCCTAAGTTAAACAGTTCTGAAGCCTGCTTGCCTACGCTGATAGTTTAGAATCACCAGCATCCCCAGACTAACTTCACACTTGTCCCATATCTTTCTGGGAGAACACAATCTTCTTTTTTCATCTGACCTGTGTATCCGGAAGGTTTAAATAGATGTACTTTCTGTAACACTATTAAATGATATTTTAAAGTGGGCTCAGAACCCCTTAAGATTTCCTATAAAAGAAACTCACCTTTTAAATGAACAATGCCTGATTTTCTGTGGGGAGTAGACTATTTAGAGGGTGCTTGTAAGGACTGCAAGGAACGGTTACTTGAGCAGAACGTGAGCGGTGGTAATGAGCGTTCTGCTATGGTATTAGGCAGGAATTTGCGTTCATTGCCCGGTGACCCTCTTCCATTGCAGGCCCCTTCCCTTTCATCCAGCACAGCATCTCCTTCTATGCGACCATTGGGCTCTGTGTTCCCTTCATTGCCGTTTTAACCATGCTAATTTGTCACAAGTACAAAAAGGTAAAGGCAAAAGTAAAAATTCATCACTGTTTCCTATTTCTGAAGAACTGCCTGTTGCTAATC